TGAGGCCCCTGGTATTTCTGGCCACTGTGGGATACAGAGTGTTGGACTGGATGGGCCTTTGGCCTGATCCAACATTGGCATCTCTTATGTTCTTATGTTCTTATGTTCAGTATCTGGCCTTCCAGGGAACAGTCAGGGTTGATTTCTTTTAGGATTGACTGATTTGATCTCCTTGCAGTCCCAGGGACTCTCAAGAGTCTTCTCCAGCACCATAGTTCAAAAGCATCTATTCTTCGGCGCTCGGCCTTCCTTATAGTCAAACCCTCGCAGCCATACATTACTACTGGGAATACCATTGCTTTGACCATGCGGACTTTCGTTGGCAGGGTGCTGTCTCTACTTTTTAATATGCTGCCTAGGTTCGCCATCACTTTCCTCCCAAGGAGCAGGCGTCTTTTAATTTCATGGCTGCAGTCACCGTCTGCAGTGATCTTGGATCCCAGGAACGTGAAGTCTGTCACTGCTTCCACGACTTCTCCTTCTATTTGTCAAGGAGTGATGGGGCCGGATGCCATGATCTGGCCCCACTGGTGGACCTCCTGATGGCACCTGGTATTTCTGGCCACTGTGTGACACAGAGTGTTGGTCTGGATGGGCCTTTGGCCTGATCCAACGTTGGCTTCTCTTATGTTCTTATGATCTTCGTTTTGTTTTTTTTATGTTGACATCAACATTAAAAAAACCCATTAAAAATAGTAGAACGTGTCTATTTTATAATTGTATTCTCCCATATAAGAAGTTATATGAAGCAAAAGTATTATTAGAGGCCTTTGTAGATGTAATTAGAATGCAACAGAATGGAATGTGTATCAGGTGGTTGCAAGGACACCAAGCAGAGGAAGTTATGCTCCGAGTGTTTTCAAAACAATATCTCCTTTTACAAGAGTAGTGCATCTGGCCAAAATCCAGTTCTATGTGAATCATTGTACCTTATCAGAAGAACTCCCCAGCCCAGGAAGGAGGTAAATAAGGTCTGGGTGATGCTAAGAGAGAGCCCCCCCCCCCCCGCTGTTTATTTTTTCCATTTCACACTGTCCTGAGAACAGATAAGCAAATGCAACCAACCACTGACACTTTTGACCAGCCTAGTGCTCCTGGGCTCAGACCAACATGAGAACCCACCTGAATCTGATGGCACTTTGCACCCCCCCCCCAAAAAAAACCCCACGTCCTTTCTTAGACATCTTTTCCACCAAGTCCTCAAGCCTCCCACCCTTGCTAAGGAATGCAGCTTCATCCTCCTGATCCTAAAGTCTTAGGCCACCTCAAAGGATCGGGACTTCTTGAATCCGGCAGAGGGGGCGGGGGAGACAAAGTGCCGTGGAAGAATTTCCCACGACCCTTATTTGACACCTCCATAATAAAGGGAGGGATTTGTTAACCTGTGTAGAAAGTGTTTGAAAGCAAGAAATTGCAAGTAGATCAATAGGTACCACTTCGGTGGGAAGGTAACAGCGTTCCGTGCGCCTCGGCATTTAGTCATGCCGGCCACATGACCACAGAAACGTCTTCAGACAGCGCTGGCTCTTCGGCTTGGAAACGGAGATGAGCACCGCAACCCTAGAGTCGGACTCGACTGGCTTTCGAGCAAGGGAACCTTTACCTTTCAGGTGGGATTCATGTGTGCTTGGCAAACAGAAATTCAGCTGGTGAACTCTACATCTGCATCTCTACCCCAAAACAACCGTGCCTGCTTAGACCTCAAGTGCTGAAGGGTATAAGAAAGGTAGTAAAAGCCAGCATTAAAAAGGTAGCCGAAAGGAAGGGGAAAGGAGGGTGAGGTTCCAGTTCGGCGCAGGACGGGCCTCTCCATTTCCCAGGATGCATTTGTCTCTTACTTTCATCTTCAGGGTGACTGTAGGTCGGCTCTGTGCATCCTCCTGTGAGACACAAGAGAAGGGTGGGCACCAGAAAGCTGCAAAGGGCTGCCTTTGCCCATTTCACCCCCACCCCCACCCCCACCCCCTTTGAGGCTCTTGCACTTCATCGCACCGTGTGTGCGTTTGTCCCCTCTCGCTCGCTTGCTGCTCGCTCTCCGGGCTGCCTTACCTGCCTGCGCCCCCCAGCCCCCCCCCAAGGAGGTCAGCCAACCCGCCAGAGGAGGAAGAGGCGGAGGAGAGGGGTGCCGGCGAACAGGTGTCAGCTCCTCTTCCGTGCATTCTAAATGATAAAGTCTTTGGCTCCAAGTCCTGCCGTTTCAGTCATGGGAGGAACAATTTTAAAGAGCCCTTCGGTCGGGGTCACAACACCGGCTGGTGACCCCGGGCCCTAAGGAGGCCAGGCTTGCGGCAAGCAGGGCCAGGTCCTTTTCAGTGGCGGCTCCAATGAGCTCCCGGAGGAGATCAGGGCCCTGCGGGACCTTGTGCAGTTCCGCAGGGCCTGCAAGACGAAGCCACCACCGCCACCACCATAGAGTGATACCTCCCGGGTAACATCTTTCCATGACCCTAGCCCTCCCCCTCTGCTATGCAAGATGTTGGGAGTTCTATGCGTGCATCCGATGGGATTGGATTTTAACTGTCTTAGCTTTTATATCCTGTATGCACTTTGTGTTCTGCGTAAGCCGCCCTGAGCCCGCTCACGGGGAGGGCGGGGTAGGAACACAATCAAATAAATAAATAAAGCACGCGGTTGTTGTGACACGGAGGAGCCGCTCTGCAGAAACGGGGGGGGGGGGGGCTGCAGGGGGGGCCTGTCCCAGGACTGCGAGGTAAAAGGGGGGGGGGAGAAAGCAGCAGCCCGAGCCCCCTCCAGAGAGCCGCGAGCCGTCGTCAGCCCCTTGCAGTTGGTGGTGGGGGGCAGTGTTCCCTCTAAGCTGAGTTGGTGTGAGCTGGCTTACAGTTTCTTAGCCTCCAGCTCACCGATTTTTCCCTTAGCTCAGGAAGGATGTGGCTCCAGAGCAAACTAATTGATGCAGTCGCCAAATCGCTCGCTCACCACTTTAATGCCACAAGCTCACAAAGTGGAATTTTTGCTCACAAGACTCCACCGCTTAGAGGGAGCCCCAAAGACCTCCAGCTGTCCTCGACCAGAGGCAGGGCCTTTTCAGCCCTGGCTCCTCCCTGGCGGAGCTCTCTGCCAAATAGCATCCATGCCCTGTGGGACCTCCTGCAATCCCACAGGGCATGCAAAGCAGAGATGTTTGGGCAGGCTTTTGGTTGAGGACAGCAAGGGGTACCCTCCTTTCCCACACTCCCTTCCCCTCTCCCATTCCGCCTTTACACTCTGCTGAGGACAACTTACTGGTGGTCCCTAGCAGTGGTCCCTCTAAGCTGAGTGAGTGTGAGCTAGCTCACAGTCTTTTAGTCACCGGCTCACACATTTTTGTCTTAGCTCAGGAAGGATGGGGCTCCAGAGCAAACTGATTGATGCGGCAGCCAAATGGCTCGCTCACCACTTTAATGCCAGTAAGCTCACAAAGTAGAATTTTTGCTCACAGGACTCCGCAGCTCAGAGGGAACATTGCTCAGTCACCACTTTCATGCCAGGAGCTCACAAAGTAGAACTTCTGCTCACAAGACTCCACGACTTAGAGGGAACGTTGGTGGCAATGTTCCCTCTAAGCGGTGGAGTCTCGTGAGCAAAAATTCTACTTTGTGAGCTCCTGACTTTAAAGTTGTGAGCAAACCATTTGGCTCCTGCATCAATGAGTTGGCTCTGGAGCCCTCCTTCCTGACCCGAGACAACAGTATGTGAGCTGGAAGCTAAAAAACTGTGAGCCAGCTCACACTAACTCAGCTTAGAGGGAACACTGGCCATGACCCCTCTCCAACTCAGTGTGCGATTCATTTCATTTAGTACACACCACCATAGAGTCACCTTTCTTTTTCTTTTTAAAAATTTTTTATTGCCGTCTTTATATATCATTATGTTGGACGTTGGGCTCCATCTGAAGTGGACCTGTGCTGAAACGAGTTTGGTCGAGACAAACTTTAGCAGCCTTCTCTTTTCCAGCACTTCTTGGGGAAGATCCAGCAGTTCCCCGGGCTGGCCGGGGGCCGGGGGCTCGGCTGCCCACCCCCGCCCTCCTTCCAGGGAGCCGCCGCGGGTGGCAAGCGCCCCGCCGCCTCCTCCCCCAGGTGGACTGGGGTGCCGCCAAGCCGCCGAAGGTTGCCTCGGAAGAGACACCCCCACCCCACCCCCCGCAGACGGGACAGGGAGCCTTCCATCCAGGGAGGAGTCCGGGAGTCAGAGGATGGCAGGAGGACACCGAGTGGGAAGGGCCCCACGGAGGCCATCTAGCCCCACCCCGGCTCCACGCAGGATCAGCCTAGAGCGCATCCCCGACCAGGGTTTGTCCAGCCAGCCCCTGCTGCTGGAAGACTGCCAGGGAGGAGGGGGAGCTCACTGAAAAGGACTGGGTTCCCCGCGTGGAGGACTCCTTTTGGGTTTTGTCATCCCCATGTTATTCGAAGCTGGGCACTCTTTTCCAAGGCCTCTTAGAGAACTTGGTGCCTCTACTGATTTACGCTGAACAGATATCAGGTGGTAAGTGGCCTGTAATTTCCTGGATGGACTCTGGACCCCTTTTTAGAAAACCATGTAACAATTCCGACTTTCCAGTCCCCTGGTACAGGGACTGATTTTAGCAACAAGTTATGCACAATGATTAGCAGATCAACAATTTTACATTCAGATTCCTCAAGAGCCCTCTGGTGTCTGCCGTCTAGAATGGAGAACTCGGGAAAACTGTAACTGGAAATAATGAAAGTAACGATTTACTAACTCTGGAGGCACCAAGTTCTCTAAGAGGCCTTGGGAAAAAGTGCCTAGCTTTGAAAAATATGGGGATGACAAAACCCAAAAGGATTCAACATTGGACCCCTTTTAAAAGGCCCTTTTGCTGTCATTTTCAGGAAATTAATGAAACAGGGCTTAAAAAAAGACAGACTGCATAAATAAAAGGACCAGAAAGACTGAAAGGGTGGCAAGACTGGACAAGTAACCCTGTGTCGCCATCCAGTGGTTCAGTATATGTGTGCACCTGGAAAATGTTATTTTTACAAAATACTGGCAATACCCGTGATCTAACAATCAAAATAGCTTGAAATGAAGAAAGGAAATCTGTAGATTCAGATGTTAAAAGCCTCAGAAGTGATTTTGCAAGTATTTTTCTTACAGCACAAAGCTTCAGTGAGAGTCTGCTAGTTGAGGAAGGTCAAAAAGTCTGACTCCAAAACACCTACACAAAATGAATACAAACAACAATCCTAGAAGTTGGAAGAAGTGCGGACAAGAAGGCACGTACCTACATTGCTGGTGGGATTGTCCACAAATTAAACATTTCTGGAAAGAAGTAACGGCCAAAATTAAGGAGATAACGTCCCAGGAAATCGCTTTTAAACCGGAAGTTATGCTCCTACACAAATGGGATGATTTGATAGTAGACAACACTAGGGAGACTATTTCGACATTACTAGCGACAGCCAAATTGACGATAGCCGCGGGATGGAAATCACCAATCCCACCCTCTTTGGCAGGGTGGCATGATAAGCTATGGCAGCAGTTTGTTATGGCTAAAATCACGGATTCGGTACAAAGAACACAACAGACAAGTACAGCTCCGCGTATGAGATATATTAGAACATGGTCACCAATACTGAATTATATGGCAAGGGGAGGTATACTCCCAAGTAACATTGCATACCATGAGTGGTTACACTTGTGAGACATACTAAACAATCGGATATACGAATAGGTTCACACTCTGCACCCATACTCAAAACAACTATTACTTCGACTATAAATACTAACGTACGGAGGGGAACATAGTGTCATTTGATAACCATAGGTAGTACTGTATTGAGTAATGTTAAACGAATTATATATGATGTGTTTATATACTGTTCTTAATATACCAATAAATATATATATATATATATTAAAAAGTCTGATGTAACATTTACTGATATTCCACTAACTAAATGAAACCATGTTCTGGCAAGACAAAATGCAATGAGGCACAGGTCTAGGGGAGGAGGCAATTTCTAGGAGGGCCTGTAAGGTTCACTGGAATGGCTGACCCTTAGAGCAGAATGTCACAGGAGGACCCTAGAAGTGCCCACAGTTGGGGGCAATGTTCCCTCTAAGCTGTGGAGTCTTGTGAACAAAAATTCTACTTTGTGAGCTACTGGCATTAAAGTTGTGAGTGAGCAATTTGGCTACTGCATACAATAGTTTGCTCTGGAGCCATCTTTCCTGAGCGGAGACAAAAATGTGTGAGCCGGAGACTAAAAAACTGTGAGCTAGCTCACACTAACTCAGCTTAGAGGGAACACTGGTTGGGGGTGAGCTGTTTAAAGGAAGGGTACTCCTAGAAGTAGTGACAGACTTCACGTTCCTGGGATCCCAGATCACCGCAGACTGTGACAGCAGCCATGAAATTAAAAGACGCCTGCTCCTTGGGAGGAAAGCGATGGTGAACCTAAACAGCATGATAAAAAGTAGAGACATCACCCTGCCAACAAAAGTCCCCGTGGTCAAAGCAATGGTATTCCCAGTAGTCACGTATGGCTGCGAGAGTTGGACTATAAGGAAGGCCGAGCGCCGAAGAATAGATTCTTTTGAACGAGGGTGCTGGAGAAGACTCTTGAGAGTCCCTTGGACTGCAAGGAGATCAAATCAGTCAATCCTAAAAGAAATCAACCCTGACTGTTCCCTGGAAGGCCAGATAACGAAACTGAAGCTCAAATACTTTGGCCACCCAATGAGAAGGGAGCACTTGCTGGAGAAGAAGACCCTGATGCTGGGAAAGATTGAAGGTCAAAGAAGACGGGGACAGCAAAGGATGAGATGGTTGGACAGTGTCATAGATGCAACGGACATGAACTTGAGCAAACTTCAGAGGACGGTGGAAAACAGGAAGGCCTGGCAGGAGCTGGTCCATGGGGTTGCGAAGAGTCGGACTCGACTGTGCTACTGAACAACAACACTCCTAGAAACTCTCACATCAAATAGGTACGTGAAGACCCCCAGACTCAACAGGGGTGGGAATCCCCCTGGCATAAGCCACCCTGAGAGGCAGGGGAGAACAGAACCATTGTGAGGAACCAGCTCAAGCATGGAGGGGGGGGGAGAGTCGCCTTAATTCACATCAAAGTATTCACGTGTGGGATCGGAGCCTTGGAGTGCAGAATCCCAAACTGGCACCTTTGGAGGCTGGATGGGGATCAGGTGGCTTCAGGTTCCATAAGGAACAGCGACTGTGGGAGGGAAGAAAGGAGTCTGAACTTGGGGGTGGGGTGGAGGGTTAGGGCACGATGGTTGCCAAAGGAAGGGCCGGGAGAGAGAAATGTGTGCAGAGCAAAAAGGGTTTCCTGTGTTTCTTTTTCACTCTCGCAGGCAGATGCCTTCTCCACGGTTCCCTCTGTGCGGTAAAGGGAAAAGAGCCGAGGTGCAGACAGTTCAAGTAAAAGGGCGGAGTCCCTGGGGAGACCCGTGGACAGACAGCAGAGGTGTTTCCTTCTCTGTTGCAAGGCTCTGAGGGTTGGGTCTTTCCCAGCCTGGTTCTTGAAGATGTCAAGGATGCTCACCGGAAAGGCAGGGAAATGGTTACTCCCCCGTCTAGAATGGCTGTTCTATAAAATATGCCAGATGGCCAATAGAACCTGCAGACACAACATCCACAACACATCTGGAACCAAAGAATCTATTTGTCTACAGTTATAATGGAAAAAAGGAGCTACGGTGGCTCAAGTGGTTAAGACGCTGAACTGCAGGCTGTGGAAGGTCGGTAGTTCAGCAGTTCGAGACCCGAGTGTGCCGCATGACGGAGTGAGCTCCCGTCTCTGGTTCCAGCTCCTGCCAACCTAGCAGTTCGAAAGCAAGAAATTGCAAGTAGATAAATAGGTACCACTTCGGTGGTAAGGGAACAGCGTTCCGTGCGCTGGCTCTTCGGGGCCCTTGCTCGAAAGCCAGTCGAATCCGACTCTAGGGTCACGGGGCTCATCTCCGTTTCCAAGCTGAAGAGCCAGCGCTGTCCGAAGACGTTTCCGTGGTCATGTGGCCGGCATGACTAAACACCAAGGCGCACGGAACGCTGTTCCCTTACCACCGAAGTGGTACCTATTTATCTACTTGCAATTTCTTGCTTTCGAACTGCTAGGTTGGCAGGAGCTGGAACTAGAGATGGGAGCCCCTTAAAGACTAACAAAATTCGTGGCAGAGGAGGAGCTTTTGTGAGTCACTGCTCACTTCTTCAGATACAGATGCACAAAAGCTCCTACCCTCCCACCCATTTTATTAGTCTTTAAGGTGCTACTGGACTCTTGCTCTTTTCTACTGCTACAGACAGACTAACACGGCTACCCAGCTTGAATACCTGAAGTTATGGTGATCCAGAAAGTCTACAACATCCTTCTAAAGAGAGATGTGACATGTTTAGCAAAAGTTGTTCTGAAAGAAGAGTGTAAGTGCAGCGTATAGTTTCTCCTTATATATAAAAGAGTTTTGGTGTGACTCCTGGACATGCTTCCACAGCCTTTGGCCCGCTCGGCTGCCACTCTCACAGTCTCCCAATCCCGTGGCTGCATTGACTCACTGCGTTGGCTCAGCCCCGCCCACTGAGCCGGCGGGCAATGTTTCACCCTCAGTCTGGAGGGAGCCGGTGAAGGGGATGGATGCTGGCATCGGTAGCCTCGCGGTAGACGAGATAGCAGGTTAACTGGTTTACCCACGAGTCCCAGAACTCAGGGAGTGTGGGATTGAAGACCTCGAGGTGTCCCAGAGCGGCTGCCATAACTCTTTAGTGAAACAGGGAGCGGTGTTCAGGAGCGCTGTGCGCGTTGTGGTGCTGCTCAGGAGCGATGTGGGGCACGGCGACTTCCACTGGATTGATGCTCTTGGTGCAGTGCTGGATGAAGAATCAAGCTTGCTCATCGGGATCCCATCCTCGTCGCCACTGTAAAGTACAGGGTTCGCACATGGAGACTCGGACTACGACATACTAACTAGATGCTTTTATTGTAATTCACAACAAGAGAACACACACGGCCCAGCAAGGGTCAACTATATACACTCCACCCAGGCACACCCACAGTTCCATTGAGGATTTGAATTTCCCGCCAAAGGTCTTATTGGAGGACTCAAGGTGGTCTAGGATCCTTGGTCCCTATTGTGTTTGGAACCAAGCTAAGGACTGAGGCCACAGACCCCTAGTGGCGGTCCCTGGACACAACAGAACACTTTCCCTATGAAGATAGGTTAAGGTACTTGGAGCTCTTTAGCTTGAAGAAACAACAACGGAGGGGTGACATGACAGAGGTCTACAAGATTATGCATGGGATAGAGCAGGTAGAGAAAGAAGTACTTTTATCCCTTTCTCGCAGTACAAGAACTCCTTGTGGGCACTCCATGAAACTGCTGAGCAGTAAAGTTAGAAGAGATAAAAGGACATACTTCTTCACCCAAAGAGTGATTAACAAATGGAATTCACTGCCACAGGAGGTGGTGGTGGTGGCTACAAGCATGGACGGCTTCAAGAGGGAATTAGATAAACATATGAAGCAGAGATCCATCAGTGGCAAGGTATAGATAGGAACTCTTGGTCTGGGACAAGTGATGCTCTGTATTCTTGGTGCCTGGGGTGGGGGCAAGAGTGGGAGGGCTTCTAGTGTCCTGGCCCCACTGGTGGACCTCCTGATGGCCCCTGGTATTTTTGGCCACTGTGTGACAGAGTGTTGGACTGAATGGGCCACTGGCCTGATCCAACATTGGCTTCTCTTACATACTTATCATTTTGGTTGCTCTCTTCTAGATGTGAGGGTGATTTGGCTGTGACATCCATCACCCCATTGGTCACCAGGGTTCATCTGGCTGGCTAAGCAGGTATCCCTTTTCTCTCTCACTGCGTGCTCCGTGGAAGAGAAGGGTCATCCCAGATAAAAGGAGTGTAACCTCTTTTGCACTTTCCCCAGCTATGCTGTATTCTTTTAGAGATATGGCATCCAAAACTATACACAGTATTCCATATAGGACCACACCATAGTTCTATACAGGGGCATTACGATATTGGCCATTTGATTTTCAGTTCCTTTCCTAACAACCTCCCATATCGGGTTTGCTTTGTTCACTGTGGCTGCACATTGAGTCAACGCGTTCCTCAAGCCATCCTACACTGTCGACCTTGTTTTTCAGCATCCCGAATCATCTGGCATCATTGCTACTATAACTGCTCACCACCAATTCCAAATCATTGATGAATAAATGAAATCCTGTTGGTCCTGATAGTTGTGGGGCAGCACACACTTTCCCGCATTGAGAGAACTGCCCATTTGCTCTTCCTGTGATTTAACCAACGTTTAATCTGTAAGAGGATCCCTTCTCTTATCCCAAGACTGCTGAGGTTCCTAATCGAAACTCCTTTCGAAGTCTGGTGTATGATGCCTACTTGATCACCCTTATCCAGGTGCTTGTTAACCTTCTCAAAGAACTCCAAAACATTTGTGGGGCAGGATGTCTCATTCCGGGGAAGCTATGAAATGAACATTATATGCCAAGTTGGCCTGCTGCAGCAGAATTCATCAGCAGTATTGTGACACCTTAAACAGACTATCAAGTTTACATTGGCTGCGGTCACACGGAGCATTAGCCACACTACAGAGACAGAAGATAGGTGGATTTTCCAGGCGCAATCACAGCGCCACATCTGGGAAGCATAGAGCTCCCGTGGCGAACCCGAGGCTTCCCGCCGAAGATGCGGGGTAAAAAACTAGTACCTCCGAGGTACTAGTTTCCGGAAACCGTGGGGCAAGGGCGGGCGCCTGATCGCGTTTCCGGTGGTAGGTTGTGGCATCCGGCGCCTGCCCATGTCCTGTCGCTAAAAGGTTTTTTTTTCAAGTCTCCACGGGATGCGCACAAGCACCCAATGGTGCATGCGCACACTTCGTTTAAAAACAAACAACACAGCCCCCTCCTCTTTTCCGTACCCCCCCCCACTCCTGGCTCGGCCTGCTTGAGAGGAACTCTCTGCACCGGACGGCAAAGGGGGAGGTGCAGGGGGGCGTGGCAGGAGGGCGGCCTGGCTGAAGCTCCTCCTGGAGGGGACCGGACGGAGGACACAGTTTGCATTCCTCTGCAGCCCTGGAAGGGGTTAATCCCGTGGAGCCTTTTGCTAGGGAGGCCGCTTCTTTGCCATGCCACAGGATTATCCTGTGATCGGCACCTCCCCCCTAACCACGGGACCTCGATGGGACGTCTGATTGCGCAGCCGCACGTTATTTTGCTCTGGGGCAAACAGCCATGCTTCCCCCCCGCATTTTCCGGCCCGTGTGACCGGGGCCTCAGTAGTATAATCTGTTGCCGATGTCTGTTGGTCTTCCCTCTGGGACTGCTGCTTCCGCGTTAACACTGACCCTTCCAAGCACGCACAGGATTTATTTACTTCATTTATATGAAGCAGTTGATGTGAAATTTTTGTGGTGCAATCTGTGGCCATGGATGTGATGTTAGAAAAGAATTTTTGGGTGACCAAATGGAAAAATCCTGAGGCTCTATCAGGATCTGTTTTGGTGCCACGACAGTGCCACAAAGCAGTGGATGTGTGATTCTGCTGCTGCTTCCTATGGACAAAACATGATCTATGATGGTGGTTTTATTTTGTTTCAGTATAAAAACCTACATGAATTCCTGAGGATCTCTTTAAAACCACCTAGCTCCAACTTTTGTCCAGTCCCTCTTTTTAATATCGATTCAAGCTGCAGTGGTTACCTGGGGATGTGTTACAGCTCCATTCCACAAAAAGTGTTTGTCTCCCCATTTCTGCAGATGAACATGCTATTAAAGTGACAGGATGTTTTATTTCCCTTCGCTATTTGGCAGCCTGACTCTGGGTATGGTTTTGAATAACCAGAAAGCGTACATAGATGCCTTCCCCATAGTACTGGAAGCCAGGGATGCTCTGAGTCATCCTGCATGGCGCAGCAGGTGGCTGAACCCACAACATCCCTGGCCAACCTGGGACAGAGGTTAAACTGACCAGCCTATAGTTCCCTGAATCATCCTTCCTCCCCCTTAAAAAAATTCACCCTCCTCCAATCATCTTGCACATTACTCATCCTCCAAGAGGCCTTGAAGGTAACAGATAACAGCTCTGCCAACTCCTCAGCTAGTTCTTTAAGCACTCACAGGAAGACACCATCCAGCGCAGGGGAGTTACACACATCCAAAGCGATGCTCCTTCTAAGTTGTGGAGTCCTGTGAGCAAAAAATCTACTTTGTGAGCTACTGGCATTAATGTTGTGAGCGAGCGATTTGGCTGCTGCATAAATTAGTTTGCTCTGGAGCCCTCCTTCCTAAGCTAAGAAAAGAATGTGTGAGCCAGAGGCTAAAAAACTGTGAGCGAGCTCACACTAACTCATCTTAGAGGGAAAACTGATCCAAAGCATTCAGATACTTCTGAACAACCACCTCTATACCTATATCCACCTGCAAACCCAACTCCTGCACACCACTGTGCCCAAGAGAGCCTCTATTCTCCTTTAGAGAAAACTTACCACAGAGACTCCCTTTGAGATCTCTGAAATTCATTAGCCTTCTAATCAGTCTCTTCATAGAGCCTTGTAGGTTTTATCCAGGAAACCTCCCCCATTCCTAATCTGCTGGAGGGTAGCAATACTTTCCTCCAGTCCACCCATCTTCTCCTCCAGCCGAGTCAGCAGCTTACCTTGCTGGCAAATATAATCTTCTGCAGCAGTAGAAAAGAGCAAGAGTCCAATAGCACCTTAAAGACTAACAAAATATGTGGCAGGGTATGAGCTGCCACATATTTTGTTAGTCTTTTTTTTTTTGGCCCCCCGTAGGGGATTTTTTAATTTGCATTTTCTAAAAACTACAACGAAATTTAAGGAGGGGTCTACAAACTATGGGGGAAAGTAAAGAAAACCCACTAAAAACCCAAGAGATGGTGATCATACATAATGTTTGTAAAATTAGCTTCTTGCTTAAAGTTCGCTTAAGAGTTCATTGGATGTGGTCAACCGTGTTCTTCATACAAACGCTGTAAGCTATAACTCCCACGTATCTGCCTAAATAAAAAGCAAATCAAGAAATGTTTATTAATCGTTTTGCATAATTCCAGACACAATGACAACTCAGTATCTATCCTTTTTCTCCCTCTTTGTCACTTTCTTTGGTGCTGTCATCTTTCTTTTTGTCTTCTCTTCCTGCTGGTCGATGTTGTTGCTGCAAAAACTCCAAAGCCTTTTCAACAGAGTCAATTTTTTCTTTCTTGTCCTTGAATTTGAAGATTATTCCTTCCTGCATGTTCCATCTGTAGGAGACGTTGTTCTTCTGTAAAAATAAGACCAAGTTTCTGTATTTCTTTTTTTTCTTTCTTATTTCAAATGGAATGTCTTTTAAGATTTTAATTTCTTTGTCCTTAATCTTCGGGGTCGTTCCACTTGAGACCCTTTGAGAATTTGATCTCTCACTTGTCTTCTGGAGATTCTCACCATCACTTCCCCGGGCAGATTATTTTTTTCATGTAAATTCAGAATACAACCTATAGATCGTATCTATTTCGCTTCGTAGAATCTTCGCTTTTATATCTGCAACCGGTGCTATAGCATCACACATCACCTGCTTTAATTCTCCTTTCTCTTGAGGAGCTCCTTGAAATCTCGGGACATAGCTTGCTCTTTCCATTTGCAGCTGTAATGATTGAGACTCGTCGGTTTGTCTCTTTTTCTCCATCACCTGCAGTTGTTTTTTAGCTGCTTTGTGTTGGCATCCACTTCTTTCATTTGTTGCTCTGTTCTATTCGTTTTTTTAACAGTCTCATTGAGTTGAGCTTGTTGCATATCTAGCTTTTGTGCAATGCCGTAACTTGTTCCAGCAGAGGCCGTAACGCCTCCGTCAGCATCCTTTGAAGGTCTGCAGTTGTGTCCTGTCTAGGGACAGAACTCGTTGGGCTGGCACTTCTGGCAAGAGGCTTCAGTTTCGATGGCTTGTCCTTCTCCTCCTCCTTTGGTGACAAATTATCCAAGTCTCCGGAATCCCTGAAAAAATCTGGTAGGTACTTGAATGTCCTTTTATTTCAGCCAACTTGTTTTTATAGCCCCCCCTTTCTTCTAATGCACAAAGTTCATTTGTTTTCTTATCGAGGGGGAGTTCCCTCTCCCCCTCCGCTTCCCAAGGGGAGGCTTTCGGCTAGTTTTTAGGTGTTTTTGCTTAGACCTTGACTCACAGTTCCATGATAGGATCACTTTTCTCTATATATTTTGCTGGATCACCAAGCGCTTGTTCCGGTGTGCTGCTCTTTATCCCATTTGGGAGCTTTGCAGAGGGACTGTCGGGGCACCAGAACGCCTCGCTCCACCAGCTGCGTGCCAGGGGGAAAGGCGAACTTCAATCCCCATGGCTAGGAGCCCATTCCCAGAGCTCCTGGGGAGTGTGGACGATCGTGCCCCCTCCCTTCCGCAAGCTCACGGCCTACGTCCTCGGGAGCTCTTGAGGACTGCGGCCGCCATCAGAGCACCAAAACCGGAAGTCCCTTTTGTTAGTCTTTAAGTTGCTACTGGACTCTTGCTCTTTTCTATTGCTACAGATAGACTAACATGGCTACCCATCTTGCATTATCCTCTGGGAGGAAAATAAACATAGCACATACCTAACAAGTGATTAGGAATTCATCCTCTCCCCTTTGCAGAGTTAACTCTCTGAAAAAGTGTGCATGCACGCGAAACCTTATACCCAGAATTAAGCTTGGTTGTTTTTAAAGGTGCCAAGGGACTCAAACTTTGTTGTGTTAACTCTCTCACTAAGCTATACCGCTCTGAGTCCAAACAGGAGGAAATAGAAATAAAAAGCAAAACAAAAACTCTGTCCTCATACTCTCATCCATGCATTTTTTTTAAAATGGGATGTACTAAAAGGAATTACAGGGCTGCCCACTGGGAACAATGGGAGATGCAGGAGTGGACACTGGATGTAATGGGAGCAGGAAAAAAAAAAAGAATGCCAATTGACTTGCATGGGCTCCACGGAAATACATTGTAGCACACATGTTGTAATGAAAATGCAGGATCAATTTTGCATTAAAGTCCGTGGTCCCATATATCCCAGAATGACAGTCCCTATAAGTAGAATCAGTGCTCGGGGCTGGAATGACGGCCCCTAGGAGTAGCAGAAGTGTTCTGGGGTTGGCATGACAGCCCCCAGAGTGGAATGATGGTCTCTGGGAGTAGCAGAAATACTCTAGGGTTAAAATGACAGCCCCCAGAGTGAAATGATTATCCCTGGGAGCAGAATGAGTGTTCTGGGATTGGCAATGATTCCATTCACAAAACACTTCTCCAAAACCCAGGGGCCATCATTCTGCCCTGCTAGCCAGTGCCTGCTCCCAGGACCATAATTCCACTCTTGGATCTGTCATTCCAGTCCCAGAACACTTCTGCCACTCCCAGGGGCCCTTATTCCACTCCGGGGAGTGTCATTCCAGGCTCAGAACACTCATTCTACTCCCAGGGGCGTTCATTCCACTCTGGGGGCTGTCACTCCCGTCCCAGAACACTTCTGTCACTCCCAGGGACTGTCACGTCAGCCCCAGAACACTCATTCTACTCCCAGGGGCGTCACTATACTCTGGGGGCTGTCATTCCAGTTCTTTTACCGCTCATGCTCGTGGACACTGTCCTTCAGGAAAGCTGAGACCCAGAATTAAACTTTGTTGGTCTTCAAGGTGCTTGACTGGACTCAAGTGTTGTTCTGTTGCTCTGGACTGAGAGGGGGGCTAACCAATGTTCCCTCTAAGCTGAGTTAGTGTGAGCTAGCTCACAGTTTCTTAGCCTCCAGCTCACACACTTTTGCCTTGGCTCAGGAAGGAGGGCTCCAGAGCTAACTGATTTATGCAGTCGCCAAATCGCCGGCTCACAACTTTAAAGCCAGTAACTCACAAAGCAGAATTTCTGCTCACAAGACTCCACAGCTTAGAGGGAACATTACCACCCGACTCTACTTCCATTTCCAGCAGACTCATGCTCCTCCCAAGGCCCATGTGTCCGAGGAGGTGTGCGGACTCCGACTCCATTCTCCCAAGGACGGCCATTCCAGGCCCAGAAAACTCACGGCTCCGCGGGGGTGTGTGTGTGTGCTGCTGCTGCTGCTATGATTCCACTCATTCTGGGGGACACCACCAAGGCACCCTCTAAACTGTGGAGTCCTGTGAGCAAAAATCCTGCTTTGTGAGCTCCTGGCATGAAAGTTGTGAGCGAGCGATTGGGCTACTGTATAAATTAGTGTGCTCTGGAGCCCTCCCTTCCTGAGCTCAGACAAAAAATGTGTGAGCTGGAGGCTAAAGGACTGTGAGCTGGCTCACACTCACTCGGCTTAGAGGGAACACTGGACACCCACCCCCCACCCCCCGGCCTTCGCTTAAAACCACCGCTGCGTTTCCACCAGAGCGATCTCCGCGTGCGCCGGCGGGCATTCCAGCAGCCGCCGTCACTCCCGGCGGGCCTTCCTCTTCCGGCATCCCCCTCTGGGTAGAGCCGCCCGGGGACCTCCCTGCCGCCGCAGCCCGCACGGTCCTCCGCAGACGCC